TAATTGTAGCTTATAGTTTAGTTTTGTTTTTAGCTAGTTCTAATTTTAGCTTATAGCTTAGTTTTGTTTTTAGCTACAGTTCTGCTAATTGTAGCTTATAGTTTAGTTTTGTTTTTAGCTAGTTCTAATTTTAGCTTATAGTTTAGTTTTTAGCTACAATTCTGGTAATTTTGGTTTATCTCTTAATTTTAGCTACAGTTCTAATTTTAGCTTATAGCTTTTTTTTTTTTAGCTACAGTTCGGCTAATTTTAGCTTATAGTTTTTTATTTTTAGCAACAGTTCTGATAATTTTAGTTTATAACATTGTTTTATTTTTAGCTACAGTCCTGCTAATTTTAGCTTATAGCTTAGTTTTATTTTTAGCTACAGTTCTGCTAATTTTAGCTTATAGCTTAGTTTTATTTTTAGCTACAGTTCTGCTAATTTTAGCTTATAGCTCTTAGTTTTATTTTTAGCTACAGTTCTGCTAATTTTAGCTTATAGCTCTGTCATACAGTTCTGCTAATTTTGTCTTATGTTATCTTATTGTTCAGTTTTTAGCTAGTTATGCTACTTTAGCTTGTAGCYGTTCATTTTAGCTAGAGTTATGCTACTTGTAGCTAAAGTAAAAGCTCAGAGTCCTCAGATGTTCAGACATTTGGCCTTCGGTCAGATGAGAGGCTAACTGGAGGGTTTTTTGTGTTTGTTTATCTCTCAGGTCCAATCAGAACTGAGGGTTTGTCTGATAAACCAGCAGAACTTCGGCTGAGCAGCAAACAGACGACATGCTGAAGCTGCTGCTGCTGCTGCTGCTGCCCTCATGGAGCTCAGCGCTGCTCAGGTCAGAAAAAATACTTTGTTTTAATTATTTAACTGAAGCAGGAAAACAAAAATGTTCCAATTGTTGAGGATTGTGTTGTTTTTAGTTGATAAAGATTCTTTTAGAACAAATTTTAATTGTAGTTTTAGGAGTTTTAACAAAATAAAAGCTTTTCAGGTGAATCCAGGTGACTGTGAACTGAACAAACATTTGATTTGTTCCGGTCAAACAGCAGAGTTTAATGAAGCTTTGGCCCTCAGGGTGGCTCTGAGGCGGCTGGACCCGGTCCGGAGCCAGCTCCGGGCCCAGGGCCTGCTGGAGGACTTCCTGAAGGACCACAGACCCGACATGTTCAACCGCCGCTACGCTCAGTGTTTCCCACCCGGAACGCCGTCCCTCAGCCTCGGACGCTCCCGAGAGAAACTCTACAACTTCATGGACGTAAGTGAAGAGGGCTGCCAGGGAGTGACAGCAGCTTATTTCTTTTGGTTTAATTTACCTTCTTCCACATCAAAACATAATCTGAGATTATTTCAAAATAAAAGACTCACGTCTCTTTTAATCTYTCCAGAAGAGATGTTTGGATCAGTCTCTGTTCCTGATTTCACTTAAATGAAATGAAACAATTTCTAAATTTAGAGGAAAGACTCAGAATTAGTTCTTGGTTGTGATTTAATCTTGTTTCACTCAGTCAGACTCGGTTCCTGTTCCAGGCTCAGTACTACGGGGAGATCAGTTTGGGGACCCCGGAGCAGAACTTCTCGGTGATTTTTGACACGGGATCAGCCGACCTGTGGGTGCCGTCGTCCTACTGCGTCAGCCAGGCCTGCGGTACAAACACCTCCTTTAACTAGAACCTGGTCTGCGGGTCAGGACGGCCCGACCCGGGCTCAGTTAGCCGAGAGCTGATAAGAAGTTCAGGGTTTAGTGGTCCGGACTGTGACATCGTCGTTGTGATGTGAAGTAAACAGCTGTTTGTTTGCAGCGCTGCACAGAAGCTTCAGGGCCTTCGAGTCCGACTCGTTCCATCACGATGGTCGCAAGTTTGGGATTCACTACGGATCAGGACATCTGCTGGGAGTCATGGGAAGAGACACGCTGAAGGTGCGTTCAGGTTCAAACAGGAAGTAGGAAACCATCAAGGTTCTAATCTCTGTTTGGGTTCAGATTGCGGGACTGACGGTCCTGAACCAGGAGTTTGGGGAGTCGGTCTACGAACCCGGTTTCACCTTCGTAAACGCAAAGTTTGACGGAGTTCTGGGCCTGGGCTACCAGTCCCTGGCAGARATCCTGGGAAACCCCGTCTTTGACAACATGATCGCACAGAAGATCGTAGATGAGCCTGTGTTCTCCTTCTACCTGAGCAGGTAGCTGTGTCACCTGAGAGCCAGCAGCTGAAGTCACAGGTGCTCTGTAACTCTGGCTGTTCTTATTAACCATCATTATCATTGTTAGCATTGTTAGCATTGTTAGCATTGTTAGCATTGCCAAGCCTATTCAATAGAAAGGGATAGAGGCGAGCCTCGTGAATCAAGGCCAGTTGAATGGCAGGCAACCATTATTATCCACTCCTAAACTGGTCTTTATTTATTTTTCATCTGTTACCGTTAGCCCCATAAAAACACATCAATATGACGGCGTTGATCTCGAGATGTGTGCTGTTATACAGCTTTACAAATGGTGTTACAATGGCGACGTAATTCGCAAAAAACTAACYTCAAAATCCCCCATTGGGTTACATTAAAACCAGATCCAACGATGCACTCTAGGTCAGTGTTTCCAAACATTTTATCTTCTGACCCACAAAATATCCATGGCAAAMWCTTGTGACCCCAAATATTACTGGTCTGAGTACTCAAACTTTGTTAATAACCCTAAAAACACAGGCTTTTTGACAATCTAAACAGCTTGTACACAAATACAAATACTTATTTTTACTTAGTTTGTGTTTTTATAATAGTTATAGGAAAAATGTTACATCAGCAATTATTTTATTACCCTTTAAATTGATTTCTGGAGATTATCCAAGGTGCTTCATGACCCATAATTGGGTCCCAAGCCCAACTTTGGGAACCAAAGTGCAGTGGTTCCCAAACTTTTCATCTTTTGACCCACAAAATAACAGTAGAGACCTGAGCCCACAACTGTTTCTGGATGATAAACATTTGTATCAGGTCAACTAAACATGGGCATAGTAACAATATTTTTTATACTACATTTATCCATTTTAAACACACTAACCTCACTCCTTTGTAACAACTAAGACAAATGTAATTACTTCCGAAAATCTTTTCAGGACCCAACCTTGATGTTTCGGGACCCCACTTTGGGTCCCGACCCCAACTTTGGGAAACACTGCTCCAGGTCATGTGACCTAGAGGGTGAGCTGTGTGCCTGTAAAGAAAAATCTTTGCAAACAAATTCCTGCTACAGCCTCGATTTTCATGTTACAAAGACAAATTATACATCAAAATGTAGGATTTTTTGTCTTCTTTCAGAAAATGTGCTGGTTTGGCTCTAAGACAAACGGTTTTCTCTCAGCGTGCTTCAGAAACCACAAAGACCAGTTCGTTCTCCCGTCTCCACCATGTAAAATTCAGTGAACTTTTAGTTCAGACTTAYTACTTTTTAACTCGTCATATCTCGGCCATAAAGCCATGTACATGCTTGRAAATTTATTTCAGTAAAGWCCAGAGTCTCCTGACACTCACAGTCCAAGAATTATTTGAACAGACCTTATACTTTTCACACAGCGGCTTCTTGAAATGACCCATATTCTTCTCACCCTGCCTCTCACACCCCCAGAATCCAGCCTCCTGATTGGCCGACACTGTTTGATTGACAGGAGGCGGGTACTGTGGGTCCCTAACTGAGCTTTCTGATTGGCTGAGGCGTTTCCTTTGTGTAAATGAACAGAACTTCATTTCTCAGCTGTTTTTAAAACAAACAAAGCTGAAATTTGGTGGGCTGGTAGCTGAGAGCTAACTCAACACATTATGAATGCTGCTCTCAAGTTTAAGCTAATTGCTAAAGTTAACTTTGAAAAAAAAGTCTCTCATTCAGCCATTTTAAACCATCCCTCAGGCTACACCCCAACTGTAGGTCAGTCAGTGTCTTACCTGCAGCAGATAAACATTTTAATTACTATTGACATCATAGGTTTATTCAAACATCTTTAATTCAGCCAATTTTCAACCTAATTAGCTAAAAATCGGTACTAGTAGCTAAAGGTCAGCTCTATCACAAATAGTAGCCAAAATAAAATTCCAAGATGGCCACCATAGCTATATTCAAGGGGTTTTCCCTCAGCCTCTGTTTGATATATTGAGCTGAAAATTGGTTTAGTGGTAGCTGAGCGTAACTTCTGTCACATACTGGAGCAGAAACAGCAAAAACAAGATGGCAGCCGAAGTAACTTCGGCCACTTTTTCTCAATGCAAATGAATGGAGGTGATTTGGAGGTGATTGGACCCTTCAGACCGATGATCTGTAAAATCTGGTTGGGCTTTTAAGACTTTTATTGTCGTCATCTGAAGATTCATTTACTGTGAATTTAGTGATCAGAACTCTTGACCGGGTTCTGTTTGCTCCTGAAGGAGAACCAGTACCAGCAACCCAGAAGGAGAACTGCTGCTGGGCGGGAAAGACGACACGTTGTACACCGGACCCATCAACTGGATCCCCCTGAGCGCTAAAGGATACTGGCAGATCAAGATGGAGAGGTATGGTTCTGACCCGTATGTCCTGGTTCTGGTCCTGGTTCTGACCCGTTTGTCCTGGTTCTGGTCCAGTGTGGCGGTGCAGGGCGTCAGCTCCTTCTGTCCTCGTGGATGTCAGGCCATCGTTGACACTGGGACCTCCCTGATTGCTGGACCGACCAGTGAAATCCTCAGCCTCCAGCAGCTGATCGGAGCCACGCCCACCGGCATCGGCGAGGTCAGGAACCGTGTCTTGACCACGCCCCCTCGTCCCTGGTTTTATACCTGGATAAAATGACCCGTTTKTCTTTGATCTGCTGCAGTTTGTGATGGACTGCGGTCGATTGTCCAGTTTACCTCACGTGACCTTTGTTCTGGGTGGGATGGAGTACACGCTGACCTCTGAGCTGTACGTCAGAAAGGTCTGTTTGGTTCTGATGAGCTGAAGGCTAGTCTGAAAGGTTTCCTCAGAGGAACGTCTCAGTTGTTGACCSTCTCTCTGTCCTTCAGGAGATCTTCGGCAGCAGGGAGCTGTGTTTTAGCGGTTTCGAGGCCATCGACATCATCTCCCCTGAAGGCCCGCTGTGGATTCTGGGAGATGTATTTCTGACTGAGTACTACAGCATCTTTGACAAAGGTCTGGACCGGGTCGGCTTTGCTCGGGCCAAACATCCCGCTGAATAATTTATCCATCAGTTTAAAGAATTTATTAATTCTCGTCACTTCCTGGTTCTGATCCTGATGCTTCTTGGATATAAACCAAACTGTACGAAATGAAGACATTTTCCCCTGAAGGAGGCCAACATTTTATTTAAAACTCTGATTCCGGGCTTTAACTGTGACCCAACAAATATCTACTTACTTACGTGACGCCAACTGTGAAATAAAATGTTAAAAATTTCCCCAACATTTTATTATTTAGCTCACTGCTTTTACATTTAGCTATTTTTTACTAAATGTAAATGTTGTGGCTAAATGCTATTTTACGTATTTCAGAATTGGAATGCTATCTTTACTGTTGGTTGGTGGCCTTTGCTAAATAACATTATCCTGCGACAAAAGCTAATGCTAACGCTGCTAAAAGTTCCCTACATCAAACTCTCATTTTTAGCCAGTTAAAATTTTAGATGTCATCTTCAGCAGCGTTAGCAGCATTAGCAGAGTTAGCAGCGTTAAAGAGTTAGCAGCATTAGCAGAGTTAGCAGCATTAGCAGAGTTAGCAGCATTAGCAGAGTTAGCAGCGTTAAAGAGTTAGCAGCGTTAGCAGCATTAGTGGTGTTAGTAGTGTTAGCAGCATTAGAAGAGTTAGCAGCGTTAGCAGAATTAACAGCGTTAGCCATGTTAGTAGCATTAGCAGAGTTAGCAGCATTAGCAGTGTTAGTAGCATTAGCAGCATTAGCAGTGTTAGCAGTGTTAATAGCATTAGCAGCATTAGCAGTGTTAGTAGCATTAGCAGCATTAGCAGAGTTTGCAGCATTATCAGAGTTATCAATGTAAGTAGCAGTAGCATTGTTAGTAGTTAGCAGTGTTAGAAGAGTTAGCAGTGTTAGCACATCATCAGAGTTAGCAGCATTATCATTGTTAGTAGCATTAGCAGTCTTAGTAGTGTTAGCAGTGTTAGAGTTAGCAGCGTTGGTAGAATTAGCAGAATTATCTGTGTTAGTAGCATTAGCAGAGTTAACAGCGTTAAAAGAGTTAGCAGCATTAGTGGCGTTAGTAGTGTTAGCAGCATTAGAAGAGTTAGCAGCGTTAGCAGAATTAGCAGCGTTAGCCGTGTTAGCATTAGCAGAGTTAGCAGTGTTAGCAGCATTAGAGCGTTAGCAGCATTGTCAGTGTTAGTARCATTAGCAGTGTTAGTAGCATTAGCTGTKTTAGTAGTGTTAGCAGTGTTAGAAGAGTTAGCAGTGTTAGCAGCATTGCCAGAGTTAGCAGTGTTAGTAGAATTAGCAGAATTAGCAGTGTTAGTAGCATTAGCAGNCAGTGTTAGTAGCATTAGCAGAGTTAGCAGCGTTAGCAGCATTATCAGTGTTAGTAGCATTAGCAGCGTTAGCAGCATTATCAGTGTTAGTAGTGTTAGTAGTCTTAGAAGAGTTAGCAGCATTAGCAGAGGTAACAGATTTAGCATTTGCTTTTGTAGCAGGATGATGATGTCACAACAAAAGTCGCGTACCAACAGCAAAGGCTGCAATTCATTCTGAGATACTTAAATGTAAAATTTAATATTTAGCTGCAACTTTTAAAAAACATTTAGTAAAAATCATGAAAATGTAACAACAAAGAGCTAGATACCAATAAAATGTTTGTGGGAAATGTTTAACACTCAAACTGAGCTAAATAATGAAAATATCTGCTTGCTATGCTAGTAAAGGTACATTTTGTTTCCAGCTGGGAAATCTAGATATCCTCATTCAAATTATATCAAAATAAAACTCATTAGAATAAAATAAAATAAAGATTGAGAGCAGTTTTCTAGGAGTTACCTCAGGTAGTGAGACGAAGCACTCGTGCTGTCAGGATGTGAAAATGTGTTTAAGTTTAACTTAATCCTCAGTTTGATGTGATGATCACAATTAATTTAATTTTCATCCTTTCTTTCTGTCCTTCACCTCTGAATCCTTTAATTAAAGCTACAGTTTCCTCTTTATCAGGTCTTCAACAGTTATCTTTAACAGTTATTCTTCCATTAAAATGCCCAAATAAAAAATGATTTTATTTAAATTGTATTTTGTTGTTTTCATGTGAACATGGATATTTTAAAAACGTGTTTATGAGAATATTTTTATAAACTGTCTTCATGTGAGCATTTTGAAAAAATATTTCATTTAATCTTTTCTTATTTTATTAATTTGTCAGAAAAGGTTCTGTTTGAACTTCACGTCTCTTTTTTTTCTGCGACTTGTGTTTTTAAGAGTTCTCCTTCTCGTCTTCATCTCGGTTAGTTTCCTCCTCATCGTCACTGTCAGCCGTCCCCACGAAGTCCCGATCGTAGTCCGGCTCGGGGATCTGCAGCGTGTTGAGGGTGGGACTGGGAGTCCTGGGGGCCAGGTGTCGGCCCAGGCGTCTCCTGCGGCGGCCCAGGCCCTTGGGACTGGGCAGGCTGCGGACCGAGGACTTGGACGTCTGTCTGGAGAACTGCAGGGAGAACTGGCGTCCCCTGGGCCTGGTGGGRGGACGGTTCTGGTCGATGGTGGTCCAGCGGAACTCTTTGGGTCCCAGCTGGGTCGGGGAGCAGCAGTTGGAGCCGGTCCTGGAGACGCTGAGGACAGAAACAAGAGTTATTTAAGACACGATGATTGGGTTTGGATGGCCTGAGGAGGATCACCTTGGGGCCTCCAGACTCGGGGCCTCCAGACTCGGGGCCTCCAGACTCGGGGCCTCCAGACTCGGGGCTTCCAGACTCGGGGCCTCCAGACTCGGGACCTCCAGACTCGGGACCTCCTCAGTGGGTGAAAGATTGAATCCGTTGGGTTTGTTTACAGAACCGTTGTTGTTGCAGGCGTGGGCGAACAGCGGCGGGCTGACGACCAGCTGAGGAAACACAAGCGAGGACTCGCTCTCAGGGGACGGAGGGTCRCTGTTGACCTCCCTCAAGGTGGACAGAGTGTCCAYGGACTGGGGGGGGGGGACCAGGGAYGAGGGCGGAGCCTGGTCCACCACGCCTGGATTGGTCCTGGTTGGATTCCAAAAGAAACCATGAAACACAATGAGTACAAGTATTGGTAGTACTTTGTAGTACCCTGTAGTACTGGTACCTGAGGTCTGGGAAGAAGCTGCTGGTGGCGTCGCTGCTGTGGCGTTTAAAAACCGGTCGAGGATGTTTGAGATCAGGAGGCTCCTGAACGCTGAGCAGACGTCGGACTCGACCCAGAACCTGAAAAACACAACATGATCTGTTCAAACAACCAAAATATATTTAACAAGTGTGAGATTATCTTAATATTTAACAAGTGTGAGATTATCTTAATATTTAACAAGTGTGAGATTATCTTAATACAGCAGGTAAAATAAGTATTGAACACGTCACCATTTTTCTCAGTAAATATATTACTAGAGGTACTAATGACATGAAATTTTCACCAGATGTTGGTAACAACCCAAGTGATCCATACATACAAAGAAATCAAACCATAAATGTCCAGAAATGAAGTTTTTTGAATAATGTGGAATGGCACAGGGTATTGAACACATGAAGAAAGGGAGGTGTAAAAAGGCATGGAAAGACAAGACACCAGCTGAACTCTCTCAG